AAACTAAGCGGATATTAAGTAAAAGGGTCTCAAGTCGTACAGACTTACTGAGAATCATCTTAAAGCGTACGTGCAAGCTCGTATGCTTCCAGTCCTGGTTCAAGAGAATACTACTCCAAGGAATCACGTGGAACTAATGCCCAAGAGTACTTATCCTTAACTCAGTCACTTAACTCTTAAGACCAGAGACGTATTGGAACGACGCATGTCTGAAATTGATCGAAAAGGGAGCTGAATGTGTTACTGATTTATAGCAATTGTAATCCTTACTTACGTCTTGAACCTTAAGAAATATGATACCTTATCGAATAGTCTCCATAGAAGTTCTTCTTGTGTACCAAACCAGAACTACTTTGACTCTACGAAGATCTTATTACGACAGATAACTTCGAGCCATAATCGATAGGGATATGGTACTATCGCTTACGGTATGTGGTACAAAAGTACGCCTTGTCGGTGACACTGATCCATTTCACACCAGTGTACCTGGTTATTACGAATGTTTGTGTAGCCTTGTTACACAAATTACCCCACGTTTTGAAGACGCACCCGACATATCGATATTCGCTGGTACGTTGTGCGGTACCGAGATATTAAAAAGACCGTGCACCTTTGAAAGGTCCATAATGAAGAAAAGTCGTCCGATATCTTTACGAAGTCACTCGCAAGAGCGCGCCTGGAGAATCTTTGTGCGTCTCTGGACCAGACAAATGACCATTTTCTGAAAACGTAACTTCGGAGATGGGCGTGTCCGAAACTACATCTGGGAAGTGTTTGATGTACAGTTGATGTTACGGTAACACTTGATGCACTCTTGTTTTCGCATCCACTAAGTAATCCACCGCAAGGTCTCAAGTAGTTATCGAATGTGGAAAGGCACAATACATGCCCGTAGAACGTTTCCTTTTTTTGCCAAGTGTAATGTCATTGTTAACAGGCGCTAATCCCAGTGTTCTTTCTATCATGTACTTTTTGGTAGACTCATACCGACGAAAAACATGACAGTGTTTAGGATGATTAAGCGATCAAGTAGAAATTTTTACGCGATCGCAGTGTTCTTGGGGGAATAGATTCGAGTTGCCCGGAACTATCTGTAGGTCGCCTTGTCCAAAATGTAGATACTTGATTGAGTGATCAATTGACCTTTTAAATACTTTTAACGTCTCGCCGACTTGTACCTTGTCATTCACTATGTTGCTGCGTCCAAACGCAGTTGATAGCTGTTGAGGGTTCTCGATACCCAGCCAACAGATCTGAGGATATCACTTGATTCAATTATGTGAACTTCATTGCGTCGGGAGGACCAAAAAATGTGCATCCCGGACGCGAAGTTAAGCGTGGCTATAAAATTGAGTTGAACTCTGTTTATTGTTACCCTATCAGAACCCAAAGCCTATGACAATGCCTATCTGTATCTCAAAAATACGATGCACGCATCGCTCCTTCTTGAAAAATGCCCCCTTGCAACTTGTGGTCCGAAATAGATGTGCAAACAGCTAGATCACAAATTATCTAATCGGGAATCCAGAGATGGGATAGCGCATCCATCTTGTGAGGTGTACATTTGTCATATACAGTTCATTGTGAGGTACGATCGTTTCTGCACATGATTACAAACGTAGAGATCGGGATCGCGCAATGTCAGCATGTGATCGCTAATCTCGGGATCGGGATCGTATATCCTCTGTGGTGTAGTACACACATCGTAACCGGCTCACGGACACTCGACACTTTTTGTCTTTTCTCGATCTTGTTTGTCACCTTGCGTCAGTTTACTTGAACTCATGTTGGAGAGTGTTACTGAACAATTGTTATCCACTCGTCTCAACTTCACGACTACCAATAAGGATTTCTCTAGTCTTGAATGAGCCACGCGATCCCTGCGATTTCAATTTTTACACCACTGCTACGAATCCATCACATTCGCTATTTTGCAGGATCATTTGGAGGATTCCGCTTGAACCCAAACAATCGATTTATCTGACAAATAAACAATTCGTATGATGTAGAAGGGACCTAGTGTCAAGAATATGGTGAATCGGATCGAGATCACACTTCATGCGGATCAAATACATTGTTGGATCTAATTATTTGAGTAAGTGTGCGGCGGATCACGTATCTGAAGTGAACGATACCTCGATATTTGTATCACTCGATCACCAGATAACATCAATCAGTCTCTAATTGATCGACGAGGCCCAAATACTGATCATGATCATTACCGCGATCGCAATTTTCAATCTGAGGTAAGATGCTAGGTATACTATGGGACTAAAGAACATAAGGGTACGATCATAAAGATATGAATGAAACACGGCGGTGGGCCCTATGACACCGATAGTACAATTGTAGGCTTTAATAATTGGTCATTAAATATCAAAAAGAGTACATTTGTATAAAGCTGCGCACATTTTGCCTTCTTTAGAGCAGGATTAAGATAAAAACCCTGATCAGGATCCTACCTTACGTTACAGTCATTGGACAAGTGGGCTGGCCAAAATATTGAGTCGACAATTCGAGTTTGGTGAAGCTTAGGCCATAAGGCGCTGGGTTGATGAATGCTTTTTGACGAACGTTGGGTAAGCGAACCTCAAGTCAGAGAACATTGTGTCGGCTAATCAAAGGTTTTTGAGTCCCGAATCTTCGACTCTTAGTTGGCAAGCTTACTCGGCTAACCACTTACTCGGCTAACCTTGGGTCAGAGAAGCTTAGAATTTCAAGTTCCATGTCATCAAATCGTGGTCGGCGAACCTCGCGTTGGCGATCTTCGGGTTCATCGAAGTCGTGTGTGTAACTCGGTGGGGGTTCTATAAAATCCATAACACTTTCCGTTAGGTTTATATATGGGAAATAGAATAAAGACAGAGTGCCACCTAAGGCTGCTCTGCGATACAGCAAAAGAGAAAGCCAATAAAGTGCAGGAATTATTAACTTCAAGACACGCTCATCATTTTCTGTTAAGCCCCTGTGTGAGATAGATTATTTCTGCCATCAGACCTCGAGATGTTTAGATTGTAAAGGTTTTGACGAATAGCGCCAAGATATCAGGAAGGCCTGGGTCGGCCAATGTCACTACTAGCGAGAGAGAGGGCCTCATCAACGACGGGCCGGTAGCCTCAGCAGAATGCATCATTTCTCGAGACTTGTTCAGGTGATGAGCCGGTGGGCCTCAGCATAGGGCATCGTAATTCTTCTAGTCGTAATTACACTGCGTCTGGCAACCTTTCGAAGGTCGTAACGTACCGTCATCTACACTTTAATGTGAGGAAACACTAGATGGTTTTACAAACTGCTGAGCTCATACAGACTTCTAAATGACTTTATTGCGAGAAAGTGTTTTGGCAAAAGCCACAACTAAGCCTGGAGGCCCGAACCACCAAAGAAATCTATCCTTAAGCTCCAGCCCACTTCGGCGACCTAATTCGCCGATTGTTGTATTTGCACTTAAAGCTGTATCAGATTTGACCGGATACTATTTTGCAGCTAAATTTAATCCATAAGACGAGCGTGATCTATTTCGGGAATGATCTTTGTCCTCCCGACGTTTAAAAAAAAATCTCGACAGCACCTCTTTGCACAATAGATCCCCCTGGATTGTCTGACTAGGCGGAGCAATAATCTACATACAGAGAGAGAGAGAGATAGGAACAGACAGTCCATTACACGGTATTATTGTGAACAAGACTTCTAGGAAGTCCTTAGCAAGATTAGCAACGCCGGTGTCGAATTGCCCGGTGGTTGTACGTGGCTCACCACATGATGTGATGCTCTGGAAGGCGCAGTGATGTCATCTAGTTATTATATAAACTGCTATAGCCTGATGCCTTGCGCCCTTGAATGTAACGTTATGCGCTCTCTTGCCGATAAGGCTCGTAATTGCCTAAGTACGTTGGATATAACCCTCGGAAACTTTCCATGAGTGAAATTTGTTGCCCCTAATGAACTAACCGATTGCGCTGGATTCAAAGAGTCGAGATACAAACGTAACACAGAATTCACCATACACGCTTCCACTGACTAATATACTCCGCCACAGTATCATCAAAGGTCTGCTGCAGCCGTTGTAATAGTGTCCTAGACAAAGGTGTCCTTGCCGTGCAGTTCCCCGCATACTGGCTCACTTCATCCAGCCGCACGTCGGACTTAGACCACGATGTCAGGACTGCCTGCCAGTATCCTTAGGCCACTGGACATTTCCAGAAAATGTGCTCCAGTGTCTCCTTGTGACCGCCACAGACGGTCAGAAAGCTTAAGACACCCCAACTGCTATCGGAAGGTGAGTACTACAAGTGGTATGGATGCAAGATCGTAAAAAGTCAAGAAATCCGAAGACAAGGGGATCAAATATCGAAATATCGGACAAGGCGGTGTCAAGGGATACCAGGCGACTCGAATAAATCACCTCCTAAGACCAACGCGATCAAGTGAAGATTTTCACTTCATCGATTCCAAAAGTAATCCCATGCACGGTCATATTCAAAATCAATTCGAGTCCACAGAGTATAGTTGTAACAGGGTGAACCGTTACGTAACAATTTGTAAGAAATTGTTAATAGAATGTAACTATAAGAATTTCATTCTCAGGATATTGTCATAAGGACAATTATTCTGCAGCACTTACGAGTAATTCCTAATTGGTTGATATAGGCCATTATATCAACCAACGAAGACGCGCCACGACGGACGCACGCAATAAGTGGTGAGCAGATAGTTGATGTGCACATTTGTATTTAGACATAGTTAGATGAGGATAAACAGTGGTTTATTAACAGACATTAACTATTATAAATACAGTTCTACTTTTTACTTTAACCAAGTACTCGCTTCTCCTTACTGTCTTCTTCTGCACGTACCAGTGTACGTGAAGTACGCGGCACCGCCTTATTCTGTCGTCAGAATAAGTAGCTTGTACTGTCACCAGTACAAGCTTGAGGATGCCCCGTTACACCTGGTAGCACTTCGTAGTCCGTCCAAGGACCACGTTCACATCTAGCGTGAATATGTTTGATGGTGAAGATGACCAAAGCTTTCACGCTACGCGTGACGGCTACTCCCATTTGAGCGATGTTGAATGGGATGCGGTTGAACGAATGGGTTCAGCCATGGGCATCCATGCTGTTAGCGTCATGCTAGAGGCTCTCAATAGAGATGCCCAACATGCTACTATCGCCAAGTTCATTCGAAATGAACTTGACGCTGAACGCGAGAAAGTAGCCTTGCTTCACCAACAAGGTTCCCAACAAGCAGAGTTGTTGAGAGAACAGGGTGCTCAACAGTTTGAACTGTTGAGACAGCAGCAGGCTGCTGCTGGTGGGTCGATGCACTCGCGTCTACCCGAGACTTTATAGATTGACATCTCTAAGTATAGGGGAGTCGAAGAGGACTCCCTCTTGAGATGGTTCGTCGAATTAGACGACGCCATAAAGGCGCGTCGCATCGATGATAGGGAAATGCAAGTTGCATTTGCCCAATAATATCTGGTAGGACGTGCCAAGACTTGGGCACTGGGGCTCAAGTTGCACGATCCATATGCGTTTGGGTCATTAGAAGTCTTCAAGTCGCGGCTCAGACAAACGTTTGAACCGCCTAGAGCTGAGTTCAGAGCTCGAACCGAACTCTTGAAGCTCAGACAAGGTAAGCGTGATGTGCACGCTTACGCACAACATATACGACATCTCACGAGTTGTATAAGCTCCAACCCGGTTGATGAACACACGTTGGTTTCGATGTTCATGCAGGGTCTTGCGGATGGTCCCGTCAAGACTCACCTGTTCCGGCTTGAACTAGATTCACTAGAACAAGCCATTTCCATTTCAGAACAGGAAGACTTCAGTCTGAGACAGGCTCGAGCCAGCTCAAAATCATATCGTCAACCGAGACGATATGACAGCGTAGGTCCAGAGACGATGGAACTCTGTTGTGTAGAGAGCGAGAAGGCTCGCTCTACAGACTACAATAAGCTGCAGAAATGCAACAAATGTCAAAAGACAGGACACTACGCTTACGAGTGTAGTGCCCCTCGTCCAGTGTCTCGCAACACTGGGCGTAGTGACCGTCCACCCATGAGAAAGGGGCAGGGACGAGGGTCCGCTGTTGGTGCAAAGACGCAACATTTCGGCCAGCTGGAACGAAGGTCCCAAACGGACAAGTGCTGCTCAGGTTAGGTGCGAGCACCTACTCCCCCCCCAAGGAAGAAGTTTTTGGGCCCTCGGCGAAGGGACCCCCCCCCCCCCAAAATTTTTGGTGTGGCTCCTCTAGGGAAAGAGAACTCCCCCCATTACCTTGAAACTCGAAGTGACGAACTCGAAGTGACGAATAAGTTGTCCCTTCGAGCGGGGATGGGGGGCGACCAAGAGGGGCCACCAACAACCAACGGCAAAAACCACAAAAAGATCATAATTAAATTAAAAAAAAGAGAAACACAACACACGGAAGACGGGCGGGCGTGGCGCCAAGCCAACAACCAAAAAAAAAAAAAAAAGAAAAAAAAAAAAAAAAAACAAAAAAAAAACAAAACGAAAAAAGAGTAAATTTATTGAATAAAGAATTAAAATTTAATATTACATCCAAAAAAAAAAGAGACAAAAGACAAAAAACGGAAAACAAGAAAAACCAAAACAAACAAAAGCAGCCCCCCCGGCGTCCTCAGCGCCCCCCCCCCAAAGGTGAAGGTGGGGCACCCCCCCGAGGGGAGGGGGGAGGACGGAGGGGGGGGGCCCGCCCCCGTTGGGGGGGGGGTGGAGGACCCCACCAAAAACCCTTAGGTAAAAAAACCGTTACACTTCGGAGCAAGATTTCGGCCGCTGCGAGGAAACACAGGCTGCTCCGAAGGTCCACCACTCGAATAAGTCGAGTGGACCGTGACAAAGATGTATCCCTAGCGGGGAACATCGAGAAGAGAAACAATCGATCGTTCAGGCTAAGCGAAGCGACAATCCTAGATCGACTGGAGAGTCTTTCGTAGAGGATCTCGCTGTGGTTGCGCAACCCCAGCTAGAGGAAGTTAAGGGAATAAGTCCCGATATTACAAATACGGCTGAAATAAGCTCCCCCAAATACGAGGGAATAAGTCTCCGGGAAACCGAAGGAATAAGTCCTATGAGGCCTGAGGGAATAAGTCCCCAGGAAATGACAGAGACATTGAATGTCCTAGTCAACGACGGATCAAGTGTAGGCGCTTATACACTTGATCTGATTGCACCTCCGAAGTTGACTTCGGAGATCACTCAGTTGCCAAAGCTAGAATCTAAGCGGATCTTGCATGATCTGCGTAGTGGCAAAGTCAAGCAGATCTGCGTACTCGTCGATGACGACGAGTGTGTAGCCGACATGAGGTCAGCAACAATGTTTACTGAGAACGAGAGACTTCTCAGTAGCTCATCGATGGACGAGAGTGTCTTCGATGAAAAGACACGATTTGAGCGATATGACTCCCAATCGTGGAAATTGCTCAAGACAAATCCTCTTTATAAATATTTGGTTAAATTCAAGGCTGTATTCCCTGAAACTGTTCCGTGCGAGTTACCGAAGGATAAAGGTACTGACACGAGGTCGAGCTTAAACCAGGCTCGGAGTACTGTGTCATGAAGCAGTGGCCACTGCCTCGTGAATAAGTACTTGTGATCGACAAGTTCTTTGCCGATCGTTTAGCTGTGGGACTTGTGAGGGAATCAACTTTGTCACATAGCTCTCCGACCTTCTGTGTGCGAAAAGCAACACAAGGGTGGCGGATTGTGCATGCATTTAACAAGTTGAATGCTGCAACGGTACCGGCTCAGACGCCGATACCAAGGAAGGACGTAATCATTGATGGTATGTCAAAGAGTACCATCTTTTCGTCCATGGATTTGATGGATGGCTTCTATCAAATTTTTATGCAAGAACGGGATATACCCTATACCGCAGTAAGCACGCCTAGCAGCATGCTCTGGGAATGGCTAGTAGTGCCACAAGGGCTTAGTAATGCCCCTGCCACGTTCAACAGATGTGTATCACATCTGTTGAGACCAGTACGAGAATTCGCACCGAGTTATTTTGATGACGTATTCATCCATAGTCGGGCTATGAATGGAAAGTCGGACGTTGAGGTTCACAGATACCACGTCCGACAGGTTCTCACAATCATGCGAAAGCATCAATTGTATGCAAACCTCAAGAAGTGTGTATTTGCAGCAAGCGAATACCACTTCTTGGGTGCATCGTTGGTAAGAACGGTGTACGTCCTGATCCCGAAAAGATCAAGGCGATCAACGACTGGCCTGTGCCGTTTGATGTCAAAGGTCATCAAAATTTCCTTGGGCTAGCGGCGTATTCGCATAAGTATTCACGCAATTACGCCGAGATGACTGTACACCTCTCTCGTTTGTTAAAAAAGAACGAGAGTTGGTTATGGAACACTGAATGTCAGTGCTCCTTTGAGGGTATCAAGCAGAGCTTGATACAATCCCCAGTCCTAGCAATTGCCAATCAGGACAGGCTATTTCATGTGGTCTGTGATGCCAGCGATTTCGCAATCGGTTGTGCATTAATGCAGTACGATCTTGAAGACGTTGAACGCGTCGTCTGCTATCGGTCGCGTCAGCTGCAACCAGCTGAGCGGAACTATCCAGTGCATGACAAGGAACTCCTTGCCATGAAGTATGCATTCGCGAAGTTCAGAGTCAATCTATTAGGAGATAGACCCTTCATTGTTTACACTGACCATGCGTCGTTACACACGGCCGTAAACAGCCCGCAACTTTCACAACGAATGGCGCGGTGGTTGTCATTCTTGGCAGCACTTACAATTAGTTCATAATTGGTTGATGTGGGCCAATATATCAACCAACGAAGATGCGCCACGACAGACGCACGCAATGAGTGGTGAGCAGATAGTTGATATACACATTTGTATTTAGACATAGTTAGATGAGGATAAATAGTGGTTTAATTAACAGACATTAACTATTACAAGTACAGTTCTACTTTTTGCTTTAACCAAGTACTCGCTTCTCCTTACCGTCTTCCTCTGCGCGTACCAGTGTACGTGAAGTTACGCGGCACCGCCTTATTCTGTCATCAAAAAGGAACTTGTACTGTCATCAGTACAAGCTACAGGGTGCCCCGTTACAGATTCCGCTGGATCTAAAGAGTCGAGATACAAGCGGAATAGAAGATTCACCATACACGCTTCCACTGACCAATATACTCCGCCACAGTATCATCAAAGGTCTGCTGCAGCCGTTGTACTAGTGTCCTAGACAAAGGCGGCGGTGTCCTGGCCATGCAGTTTCCCGCATACTGGCTCACTTCATCCAGCCGCACGTCGGACTTAGACCACGATGTCAGGACTGCCTGCCAGTATCCTTAGGCCACTGGACATTTCCAGAAAATGTGCTCCAGTGTCTCCTTGTGACCGCCACAGATGGACAAAAAGCTTAAGACACCCCAACTGCTATCGGAAGGTGAGTACTACAAGTGGTATAGATGCAAGAGCGTGAAACGGCAAGAAATCCGAAGACAAGGGGATCAAATATCGAAATAGCGGACAAGGCGGTGTCAAGGGATACCAGGCGACTCGAATAAATCACCTCCTAAGACCAACGCGATCAAGTGAAGATTTTCACTTCATCGATTCCAAAAGTAATCCCATGCACGGTCATATTCAAAATCGATTCGAGTCCACAGAGAAGAGTGCAACCCGCCCTGCAGACGGAAACACAAGGTAAGGAAGGGAAACACTGTACTGAAACTGATTACCCCTCCGATAGCTGGTCGTCTCGACACCAGTGGAGAGTCTGAATCACATCAGCAATCTTGTGAATCCCACTCCGTAACAAATTCTTGAGAAATGTGATTAACTCAGTACTAATTTGTGATGTAACGTATTCGCGCGACATTTTGATGACTGATGTTTCTGCTGCTTTACAAGATTAAACATCGTCTGAATCTTTCAGCTGCTATACCTTACTGATCGCCAGCGACACGAGATTGGTACGGCTTTTCACTTTCTACTTTGGGCACGCCAGGTCTATTTGTCGCGCTGGCATTCGTCGGACTGACTTACTTGCGCCACCAGTTCTACCCGGCTTCTACCTTCTGTGGGCCTCACATTTTGTGGGTTCTCCGAGAGTAAGACCGGGTAGAACTGGTTTGAAACTGAGTCGGCATGTAGCGGATCTGATCAGAATCAGTTTTGCTAAAATCGAGAAACGCGTACCAATCGAATCGGATTGAAACCGGTTTCACCCTTTACCATGTCAAAACATGGAACCGGACACGAGAGTGGCACAAATTTAGCAGTTAGATCGGTTCTCAGGTTAGGTGGCTATATTTCCTGCATGTTCTACTGCTACTTGCATGGAGATGCTATTATCTGTTTGGGAGTCCGTTCCCTAGCTTCATTCTCGCTGGAGTTCTTCTAACTCAAGAGTCAACTCCCAGCTGTTGGAAGTGGTCGGTACTTGAGTCCTTTAGGACAATTGTAAACTGAGAAATAGATGAACTGATTCACGACAATCACTGACGTGCATTTGCTTCCATTCTCTGCTCTTGCGTCTTCCTACGGACGCTGGCATCACTATCGCTCAACACGTCAATGGATGTGTGGTCCCACTCATCTTGTCTGGTCAGTAGTCACTTGAGTTGTGGGCGACAACAACGGTCGGTCGCGCAATCGATGCAAATAATTACTTCGCAATCCGTAATGGCATGATTGTGAGGCGGGTATCGCTGTCCGGCCTGCAGTTTCACAAGTAGCTTGTCTTTGTCCATGTGATACCAGCGGCAAGGCGAGTGATGGTTTGCTTGATTGTTAACACGGTGTGCTATCGATGTAGTCGTTGGTAAGGAGTGAACAACGACGCCAAGTGTAGCCATTCTTGTCAAATCTCTATCAGAGGTACAGCGATACATCAGGCCCTCGTCCGAAAAGCTGGTTCCATGAGGGTGGGAACGCAAACGGAAGCGCTCGTGGTATCGATCTCGACACCGCGCTCGGTTCAGTCGTCGAATCCTTCTGTTCGATTCGCAGGGAGCGAAAGAGCTGTGTAGCCATGGCAACAGCGTCCAAGACGTTGTCTCCTTCAGCACACGCCATCACCCACGCAACAAACGGCAATTTCCGCTCTTCGCACTGTCCATGCAAGATTGGAGCAAGGCCGGCGCCGCGGATCTGCTCCCATTGCTCGGCAGGTAACGAAGGCGCCTGGGCTGCTTCATGGACGCTTGTGGTCGCTGTAGTGAGTCCCTCAAAACGAGTCAAGAAAGATCCGTCGAGCTGAGCAGCATTTGCAGAGTAGATGGTACGGATCGGACGGCTGCAAATACCAAGAGTAAGGTGAGTGACAAAACGATCCTGCCCGCAGCAAAAATACCAACTATCATCACAGTGCCCGACCTCATCATATTGATGTCATGACGAAGCATATCATCGCATCCAGCGACAACACCAAGCGTCGCCACTTTGCTCGAGATGGCCCACTCGACCAGCTCTCGGACGAACGCGTGTACCCGTCCCTGGTCCCAACCGTAAGAAAAACTTTCAGCCTTTGTCCACCCCTGACGGCAGGAGCTACACCTCAACGGCAAACCACTTACCGGCAGAACAGGAGCTCGCTGCTGAATCACTGTCAGTTTCTTCTCTTTGCTCCGATACACTACCGCGATCGAGCAATGAGAGATTCATCAGAGATCTCTTCATGTATCGCGTGATGGCATCGTAACGCACCCGCAAGATTGAGACACAGAGCCTGCGGCTGCTGTGTAGCAAAAGCAGCACCACCAGCAATTGGAGGAGTCGCATTGCTAAGCAAGTGACCGGCACATGTAAGCTCCACGTCCTGCTCATTGTCCGCGTCCAGGTCCAAGAGATCGGTCAGTAGTGAGGCTTCCATGCGACGATAGCAGCAGTAGAAAAAGAGGTCATCCACGTACAAACTCCTTCCCATTCGATAGCAGCGTGTTGATCAGCAGATCGAGCGTCAATTGGCCCAGATTGGCATTGGACACTGCCGGCTATGGCACGGAAGAGATGCAAAAGAGAGACACGATCCACACACACAGAGAGCTGTCAACCGAAAGCGAGGCGAGCATCAAATGGGTCGAGGTCATAAGCGCCTGACGACGAGGGAACTGATGCAGAACGACAAGATATCGACAGGTTGCGTACCAAAAGCACCGTATGGTCTGCGAACAGCGCAGCACAAGCGGCAGCGTCAGCGGCGTCGGCGCCATCTTGAGGGTAGAACTCCATTCAATCTGAGCAATGCTTACCCCAAGGGATGTGTGTATACAAACAAGCACACGTGTATACTCGTGGAGTCAAGTGATTTGATACCGCACCTAGCAAAAATTGCTTTCTAGAATTCACTTTTTCGCAGGACGTGAGTGGGTGCGTGAATTGAAGGGTATTTTCTAACCATGCACTTTGTAAACAACGTGATTTTCTGCTTCGTTTCCATGCTTCGCTGCTGTTCATCGTTAAACCACATCACATTGTGTTGTCTATCAGCCGAAATGCCGCTGCTGCAAATGAGTTGTAAAGTCAGTCAGTCCATTTTTTATATAAATTTATAGCTAAACGTACCGGATGCCTATCCAGCTCTTGCTTTTAAAAAAACGCTTTTGTTTCACCCCATGGAGTGTTTTAAAAAGAGAGTGGATTCACGACTTGGCTCGCATCCTGTGAACCACTTGATCTGAGGTAGTAGCAAACTGCAGCACCACGTCGCAGCCACTAGTGTCTGAAAGCAACAACCCGTCAACGATGGACCCGTAGCTACAAATGTCTGCTGCGACAATCTCTGCAGAAAAGCTGGATGTTTTAAGCAAGCGACTTGAAAAAGTCGGATGAAGGTTCAGCTGCAGCAGCGAAACTACTCGGACCGCAGTCGTGTATCAACGATAGGATCGGGTGGTTATGTGGTGTCCAAGCAGCACGAGCGCGGGTCCTGTACAGACATGCTGCATCAAAATTGCTGGGCGATAGCAAATACTGGCAGCGAGTTCGCAGCCAGTGGCGAGCTTGCGATTCTGTAAGTCTGCAGTGGGTACATCGTCATTGGAGGCGACGGGGTCGAGGGCAGAAGTAGAACGGCATGCTCCTCTTTGTAGCCATCACACAGCCAACTCCTGCGCCGCATAGGTTCATGCCATCACTAAACACAGCCTCCGTCATCAAAGCCATGCGCTCATTCGACTGTCTACACTGAGACGCAGTCATCCTTCAACTTCCAACCGAGTTCTTCTTGCAGATTGACGTTCGTGTGACGCATCATCAGTGGCGAAATGGCAGGCAGACTCTGCATAGGGACAGAATGCGCACTCGGCGTAGCTTGGCTTGGGTGTGAACTCTCCGCGACGCAGGCCCGACGCAACCTCAACAACAGCATCTTTGGCTTCCTGTGCTGCTTCTTTCGAGAAGAGCACAAAGCCGTTATTGTGTGCTCCTGCTCTGCCATTCTCTTCTTTTCTGCTCTTGGAAACAATGCTATTCGGCTGCTGGCTGTAGGTACCGCCGATCTGTTCCAGTTTGGCTCCATACGGTGCCTCACCAAAAACCTTGTGGAAAGCGTACATGTACATCTTGAGCTGTAAGCTCTCGTCCGCTAGTTTGCTCATATTGCGTCGGGTGCCGCTCATGTTGGACTTGAACTCCTTGACGACGTGCAACGACGATTCGTCGTCATTTGGGCTGGAAACACGGTCGATGCGGTCCCAGACACCTCGCAGTTCCACGTTGGCTTCGGGGACGTAGAAAGAAAACGCCCGCTCCACGTAGAGGATCTCCTCCAACTGCGTGTCGCTGTGGTGCATTTCAATGAAGTCCCGTAATGCCATCACGCCTCGGTCGAAAAGGAAAGAAGACTGCTCTTTGGAGCTGAAGAGACCATGCCCATCACCTGGCCAGGATTGCGTAAAAGCCTCTTCAGCTTCAAGTGCAGCAAGCGTCTTCACTTCGTGCGGATCCTTGCCATTCAGCTGCGCAACAGCTAGCGCTTTGGCGAAAGCAGCTATGCCTTCATGTAGCGCGCGCCCGAACATCATCGGAGTCGTTACGTCCCCATTCAGCTTGACGACGCGGCTCAGATAGTACCGATGCGGGCAACGCATGTATTCCGAGATTTGAGAATACGATAAGTGCGGTGGGTCGTATGATTTGCTCGGTGCTAACTCCGACGAGAGACGAGTGTCCGTGCTTAGACTACGCGCAGGCCTCTCACAGTCCAGATCCGACCTTGACGTCGTTGACTGTATCACGAACGGTTCATCTTGGTCAGGGTGACACCTATCGAGGTCATCATCGCCACTCTTCCTTCGTGTAAATTTGTCCACAGCAGACTGTAGCAACCCAGGAGGTGTGTTCGGAAAGAACAAACGAGCTACAAAGTCGCGCAAGAGCCCCGCCACGTCTGAAATCCAATCGCTAGACGTCTTGGGTTGTTGAGGAGTTGCGTTGGCTGTAGCAACGGACTTGCTTGCTGCCAAAGCTTCCACTGAAGTGCCGTCCGATGGCGATGCAGCACCGCTTACACTAGCACTTCCATTGCTATCGCTGGTTCTGTCGATCACTGGAGCTGGTCGGTTCCCTTCGTGCCAGATCGGTTGAAAAGTGCGGCTTACTACCTCGCGCTTGGATACAGCGGTATCGGATAGCTCAGTAAAAGACAGCACCACCTCGTCATAAGTGCGAAGGGTCAGGGCTTCGTAAGCGAGCTGTTTGCACTGTTCCAGATGCTCGACACGCGTTTGCACCGGAAACGGTTCACTTAACAGACCATACGGGAGTGGCAACGTGAGTCGTTTCATCCGCCCGGGGAACTTGCTGTCGCGCATTGACATCAGCACCAGCACATGCTTGCGGCCTTCCTCACCATCAGGTTGCGAAGAAGCACAAGATTGTAGCGCGTATGCTGTCAGTGGGATTACACGAATACGAGCATCCACATTGACGTCTGGTGAACCTGTCCATGAAGCGGATGAAGTTAGGTTGGCCTTCCGTAGTTGCTGTAAGTATGGCACCACAAACGGTATCTGATCACTCATCGTAACCTTTTGCGCAGTCTCGAGTTCTCGTAAGAAATCAGCCAGAACCAACGACTCACGCTCCTCTTCCCAAGAGCTAGGACTCAGTAGCACCTCCAGTCGTCCTGTAGCTTCCAAGAAACTCTGGACGACCTCAGCCGCAGATAGTTGGTGGCACTTTGTACGAAGATGCACGATGATGTTTACAAATGACTCAGCAATCTCCAAGCTGATCTTGCGCTGACAAGACACTGCTTTAGGCAGCTCCTTCTCTTGCCCTTCAGGAGATGTGCCGAGCGACTTGCCGTGAGATTCTACGAAAGCTTCGAGGACTGAAAACAAATCAGTATGGCTCTGGTGCTCTTGCTGCATCAACCACGAAAGAAGCTCAGCCGGGAAAGCAAAGAAGTTGGAGCGCAAAACGTTGTAAAGATAACGCGAGTCGCTCGGGAAGCACAACGCACAAAGTAACGAATACACCGCGTTCACACCGGGCTCGTCGAAAAGATGGACGGGCGTACCAGTTGAGCTACTTGGTACTGAACTCGATTCGCCATCAATTCGAGCTAACAGCCCTTGCTTCTGAAATGCCAACACGATTCGACGTGCATCTGCATGCGTGGGACATAGCACCGTGGCATTCATGGACTCCGTTTTTCGTGCGAGATATGCGCTGACAGTCCTCACCTCCGTTTCAGCAGTACTAAAGCGCCAGCACTCAAACGGAACTGGCGATTGCACGTCGCAACTAACGCCAGCACGTTTCGTCAAAAGCTGCCGTGCAAACGCCCGCATCTGTGCACTCTTCTCCGAAATCTCGCGGTTGGCGTCTAACTCGGTACGTTTCAGAGTACGTTCGCGACCTGTATCTGCTGCCGCAAGCACCAACTGCCGTTCTAAAATCTGCATTCGCGAGCAGTCTTCTTCTTCGAGCAGTACCCGGCTGAAGCTGGCACTATACTGAACACTTGGTTGACCACACAGATGCCCCACAAGCATCGCCATGGCCGGTGTCATCCTCTGCACATCGTCCGCCACCACGTCCGTATAATCTTGCAGCACCGTCCGAGCAAACTCTTTCGCCAGAGCATTTTCCACTACAGTGTCTCCTTTATTCACACCACACATTGTCATCATTTCCAACACGAGTCCTTCCCAGGATGTGGCACCGTGCTGCAAAAGAAGTTCGTGATACTTCCGGTACGTCTCAGCCAGCTTCTGAGCAAGCACTTGATCGCCGTCTTCAGCTGTAGCTGCTAACGCCAAGTACTGATCCGCCAAAACTCCTTGCTTTTCCAGCAGCTGAAAGAGGTGCAGCAAATCTTGTGCGCCTTTGCGTCTCTGGAGCGTCGACGCGGCATCCAGTCGAGACGGACCAGGCTGCAGCACCAGATCATTATGCAATATTAGCGCCATCAACTGCGCACGACCAAAGACTCGACGGTTGCGTCCGCTTTCGCGCAAAAGCAGCTGGCAGAACTCGCTGACGCCAAAGATGCCGTGGCCACGCCGCTCCAGCTCGAATGCAGGCAACTCCCGCTCCAGCTCTGCGCGGACAGACGATTCAGAAGCTGAACTACCTGTTAGCAGCAATACACGACGTTGTGGCTGTTTCAAGAGCCATCGTATGCGCTGTAACGCTTGTTGATTGGGTACACTTGTGACCAAGCTTTCGTGTTTGCTGCTAGAGCTGCCAGGAAGTGTTGAGATCGTGTAGTTGCGGTAATGGGAAGGAGACACATTAGAGAGCAATACGTGATTGAAATGAAAACATGAGCGAGCCCGGTAACGCAGCAGCTTCATGTGCTGCAGCCACCGCCGTGCAGCATCTGCGTGCTGGGCCATTCGTGATCGATTGATTGACACGGACGTCGCGCATACTGTCTTGGGATTGGTCAAAACCATGTATCGCCTCAATCGACGATTTTGATTGGCTAGATGTTTCACTCACAGCTTTTGTCAACTTGTTGTACGAGGCCCTCGTCTTTTGCTTCATCATCCTTGTAAAAGTCGCACTTGACGTGAGCGTGTGCAAGTTCTGTCAGTCACACCGAATATTCACAGTAACATCCTTCGCACAAAATGACAGTAGCAACAAACCCCGTTGAAACCGATCGTGAGCTCAAGATTGCAGAGAACGCAGCGTCATGCTCTAGAGCGGCCACCGCTTCTCTCTCCGCTCATGTACCACGTGGCCGAGATGGTGCGTGACGCCCGCCGCGACATGAGAGCGCGTCACGACGACAGCACGTCCCTCGGCTTTGTGTACAGCACGCTCTCGACCTTCACGCCGTTCCCGTTCCTCTTCTCACTCTGCAGTCACATCTCGAGTCGTCTCGTGCGTCGCGCGCCGGACCTCGTCAAGCACGCGGCAGGCGCCACACGCGACTGCGTCTTTGATGCTGCAACGAACACGCACGAGCGTGTCGTGGAGCTCCGTCTGACGTGCACACGGACGGGTCAGCGGCTGTTTTATAGTGTGAAAGTGCAGGTCGAGACGGCGCGACTGCCAGGCATGCTGACGCCACTGCAGCGTCAAGTGGCAGTGCCACTTCTCTATGGCGTTGAAGGCTTGGCGCAGTTCGTGAAGAGTGAAGAGCTGCCGGAACTCTATTTTGTAGCCAAGAACTCGATGCGACGTAGTTTCTTTCTGCGACACGTGGTGCTGCCGCCGTTAGGAGCGATCGAGCGCGTCGTGCAGTACGTTGTCATCTTCCCGAGCCAAGTGGTGTTTCCATCGCGTGCTGAAATCGAGGACAGGACGGACTTGTTTCTGGAAGGAAGTACGACGCGCGTGCAGGCGCTTGTCGAGCACTTGTATTCAGCAACAGAAGTGCTGGACCAGCATTTGAGTATGGTGCAGTGGAACATTCTAGGACGAGGACCGTACGAGTCGCTGAGTACGTTGAGACGAAGCGACGTTATTCGATCTGTGCACCAGAGGATGCGCATCATTGTGTCGAACTATAAACTGTTTGAGTTCTTGGCCACGATCAAGCTACAGAACGAAATGCTGTACAGCGACTTGCAGCGCGAGTTCCCCGATGTTGGTGGTATCCCGCTAACGCAGCAGCAGATAGCAGCGAACGAAACGTTGACCGCTGAACTTGCTGAGCAAGATGAGAATGCATTTCCGATTTGGTTTTACAGGAAGATTGACATCCCCAGCGGGCTCAATGGACGTAGCAAACGAACTCCAGATGCAAGCAGTACAGCGAGTTCGAGTCAATCTGGCCCGGCCACCACTGCCAGTGCTGGTGGATCGGGCGCATGGACAGAGTTTCCTGCTCACGAAAGTCGTCGTCTCGAACGGAAGTTCCGGTGGTATCAACAGCGGACTGGATTAATCTTAGGCCCGACAAGACCGACTTGTATTGTGCTAGTGGATGGAGGTCGCCATGAGGTGGACTTGGAAACTATGCGCATGACGCCAGTATACTGGCCACCGCTTGAGGAAATTGTTGTCTGCCGTTCTCGCTGGGTCTACGCCCAGCGCAATTACGGCTTGGCCCCGTACAACGCAGAAGCTGCAGCTATCCTCGAGGACGCTTTCGTGTATTACCTGGGACTGTATCCGCTTGAAAAGCAGCGTTTGATGGATATCGAGGCAATGAAGCCGCGTGGTTGTTTCAGCTCCCGTGCAAGTTTCAATGAGGCAATGTTGTCCGCTCGCGTCGAGAAAGACTGTGCCCTTAGCATACCGGTCGAAGGGCACCTCGTTGAGTTTAAAGGAGCCCAAGACATCATGCAATACAAACGGTTGTTAGCAGGCACCACGCCATTCACGAGTAAGCGCCGCGTGTATCGAGGAGATCCGTGCGTACGGGCTGATTCCGCTACGTTGCAGCTCTGGAAAGATGCTATGGAGTGCGACCCAGCTACGGGTAACGCGCTGAAGATAACGGCAGACGATGTGGACATTGAAGAGGAGATCGAACATCTTGTACTCGTTGTGCACGGCATCGGTGACGCATTGAAGACACGCGATCTGATCAATGTCGTGACGCTTCGCTCAATCGTTGACTGCTCGACAACACTGCGAGAATTGAATCGTGAGGCTTTACGCTCCGCGCATTTTGCTCACTTGGGCGGCGAAGATGCCGAAAAAGCAGCAAACGGCGGCAACAAGGCGGCGTCGCATCGACCTCGCGTGGAATTTTTACCCATTGAGTGGCACTCAAAGCTGCACATGGAAGGCCTGGATCAACTTATCCACGACGTGACTCTTCCGGCAATTCCCAAGCTTCGTGAGCTTGCCAACGACACCATTTTGGACGTACTGTTCTTCATGTCGCCGCTGTTTCACCAGGTCATTCTGGATGAAGTCGCAACGGAAATGAATCGCGTGTACTCGCTGTTCCTGTCACGTCATCCGGACTGGATGCAATCGGGATCTGCTCTTGATCCCACACGTAAGCGCAAGAAAGTCTCAATCATCGCGCACTCGCTTGGTTCCATCATCTGCTTTGACATTCTGAATCACCAACAGGTGTATATGCAGCAACCTCAGAGCGTGCCTTGCACGGGTGGTGATGACACTAGCGACGAGGAAGTAACAATTGCACACGGCACGGATGGAAAGGGTGGCAGCAGCACCTGTACCGACGACGATGGCGACCGAGAGGTGCTGCAGGACAACATCTTTGGTTTTGACACCGCTCTTGCGAGTAGGACATTGAAGCGGCGCTCGCGGTCAATGTCGGAGATGTCGAATGCAAATGGAGCGTGGGGAAGTACGTTCCTTTGCAATGATGCCGGTCTGGAAAAGCAAACTATCAGTCGGTACACGACATCAGCTGCTCGCCGTACGGGTCAGAAGGAGATTCTGGTCACGCCTTGTAGTGAGCATCCATCGTCAGGAAAGCCCAGTACTGGGGAGAAACACCAAGTCCACAAGTATGCTGCTGCTCCCATCGAAAGCAGCAGTGTCGTCCCACTCGTGCCGAAGCTCGCGTTCGACGTAGAAGACCTCTTTTGCTTCGGCTCTCCTGTGGGTCTGTTCCTGAACGTGCGGGGACAGAAACTCGACCGCAACTTCCAACTGCCTCGCTGCCGCCGGCTGTTTAACATCTATCATCCGTACGACCCGGTGGCGTACCGCATCGAGCCCATAATGAACCCTGCACGCGCTCACTCGAAGGCAGCGATTATCCGCACGTTTGAAGGCAAGCTGCGATTCCAGTACCAGCTGCGCAATTCGTTCCGTGCCATGTGGGCTTCGCTTCGTCAATGGCGTCACGACTTTGAGCTTCAGGTGCTTGCCGGCGCACACCGCATCGGGCTCGTGGAAACTCCTGCATTACCGACGCCATTGAGTGATGTGCTGGCGGTGGTGGCACAGCCGTATGAGCAATTTCAACAACGTCCGGACGAGGAGATGCGGGAAGAACAGCAGCGGGAGGAGCGGGAAGGCGACGAAAGTACAGAAAACGTGGCAGTTTTCGGCCGACTGTGCCAGGGCCTCCCTGTCGACTACTCGCTCCAGGAGAACGAGATTGAGATTGCCAACGAGTACCTCTTCGCCCTCATGGCCCACGTCATTTACTGGGACAACCGCGACGCGAGTCTCTTTGTTGCGCAGAAACTTTTGCTGGAACCGGCAGCTGACCACTGGCCCGTCAGTGAGCAGCAGAAGACGACGGAGCTCGTAGATCGCCAGACCATAGCTGGATGTGAACAGAGCAGCAGCATCGATAGAAGGAGAGAGCATCTGGACACGGCCAAGTGAGAGTTCGGATACCTCTGGTATCGCTGAAAGAGGCGCAGTATCAGTACTGCTTAGCGAGCGCATGAAATTGTACTGATATAAGATATCAAACGGCTTGTGCCGCGTTGCCATGTCAAGCGTTGCGACCAGCGACGGGCCCGCGCCGTAAACATTTCATCGACTGCAGTGATGCCGACGGCGATAGCGTCTGGACTCTACCGACGTCTACTGGACAGTTTTGACTTGACCCAATGGCCTCCGCGCAAATGGATGTCGACGACATCAGGGGGAGACTGGGGGGGGTCCGTCCAGCTTACTGCGCGTGGGTAGAACCGCGCGTCGCTAATTTTCGGGAACCTGCAGTCTTCGAACCAGTTTTGTTCGGGTTCAGTCAACAAGCATGTGCGACTCGTAAACCGTCGCGTCGTTTGGAACACCAGCTGAAAAAAAGCCGCGAGAGGATCTTTCGATGGGGTCCGGTCTGGACCGAGGTCGAAACGTCCTCCAGTAAGTAGTAGCCCACGGTTGCGTCAACAAGGTAGGCAGGCAGTATGCCACGCTATAGGCAGTACATAGCCGTAGCCCCTCGTGCTTGTTTGCTACCAAGACAAGGCGCACATCGCTACGGCACCAGCGAACAATTTGCTCGATCACGGGCGTCGTAAAGTCGAGACGGCGGTCTCGTCGCTGACCACCATGTGGCGTAAACCCATCGATTAACACGATACTCGGGGGAGCAGCTAGATTGCAGCCAGTAAAACACTATTACGCAGCGGGCGAAGCAGCCTCTACACAAATCGCACAATCAAACCTAATTAGGCGATTTACGCGCGACTGCCGAACACAAATGGTCACTAATTTTGGCAGTAGCTTCACACATCAGTTACAGGCAAATTGCAAACGCTTGACGACAATGTGTTTGGAACGAGGGCAGCAGAAGTGAAGCTGCATCGGGCACACAACAACGAATTTAGCGAAAGGAAGTACAGAATGGAATACAACAAAATGAATGGAAAGCTACCGATTAAATCGATTTGATAAGTATTTGTTATCGGTCGTAACTCTAGATTACCAGTTTATTCGCTATGAGGTGTTAAGGTGACTTGCATCGTTCTCACATACGTGGATTGTGTTCAGGATAATGACATCCATCACGCGAGGGTGACCGGTTTGGTGCGACGAAAACTTGGTGGGTACAGTCTGGAATTGCCGAGCAACACCCTCTACTATCCGATTATTGTTCTTGGCATCTTGATCTTCGTCGTCAATGTCCTCATTTTCGTGTTCGTTTTGTCGTTGCGGCTAGTGTTGTCATTTTCGTTGTCGTCGCCGTTGTCGTTGTCGGTCCCATCGCCACCCTCGGCACCCTCTCGTCTCCAATTTGCTATCGCAAAGTCTTTTCATAACCCACATACACTTTCTGATTGTGTGTACATCCACATCTTCGTCACTTCCCATGCATATCTGTGTGTTCCTCTACCCCTCGGACATTTTACAGCTCGACGGAGTGGTCTCACGAAACGATGGGTGCCTCTATCTTTGAAGTGTCAATCAAGGATGTTCAGCTATTTGACAATGTAAACAAAGAGGACCAATTTGGAGTGGTCACAGAAATTGCGAGCTCAAATAGGTCCGTAAGAAATAGAAGAGTGTTTACAACGATATGACTGACTTGGTCCCGATCGTTTAGAGTTACTTACATTTACAGAGAGTGTCAAGTTTGTCTATTAATGCGATCAACAATCGCCTGAGGTGCCAGATCGTACAACCCAAAATCGGTTCTACGACGTGAGTGCTCTGAGGAGCTATGAGCGAGGGTAGCGAAGGCCAAGACTGTCTGACCCAAGCCAACGTCGAGCTTACCTTTCAAGCGCTTTCGGTGCATCACTTCCCTATGCAGCAGGGTTGACTAACACACCTATAGAGAAGCCCGATCGAATCGGTGACCACAAGCGTGGCCAGCCGATTTATAGTGCGCGAAGCCGAAGAGACGTCCGGAGCATGTTACTGCACGCGGAGGCAGTCTCTAGTGTGGTCGCGGTTGCCAAAGCGATGACGATGGCGTGGGAAACGCCTCCAACTGAATGATCTTACTGTTCGTAGCTGCTTGCGCACCTCCATCAGACTAGGAGTGCGCGACCGCAGTAGGAGTAACGCGTGGCGAGGGAGACTCCGCCAGACGCGTGGCGCGGGGTTGCCGCCAATCGCCAATCTCCCTGTGTCTACCCCTGCACGAACTTAGGCTGCGCGGGAAGTATGCCCGAGGCAGCCCCTGTTATCTTCCGAGGGCTTGCGCAGTACATGGTAGAATGGGAACTGAGATCGAAAGTATGCTCCTGCCTGCTCTTGCTATCGCTCGCAATAACTTCCTTACCCACTGCTCTTGCCGCGGGTCGTCTGTATCCGCTGCTGCCCACGCCGCTTCACTCTGATCCCAAAGGGCGCACACGTAACGTCACGACTAAAGGGTGCGTCATTTCACTTTTTCTCTTCATGCATCGAGACGTCGACACTCACGGTCTCTCGGTGCAGCGCCTCTGCCCCTGCGGCACCATCGATCTTTAACAGCCCCTTTAACTCCGGCTCTCGCAAGGGAGAGTCCCGCTGAGGGTGGGCGCCTCATAATAGGGCTGGATGTGACTGAAGTGTGAGTGCAAAATTTGAAGATATGTCTTTCACATTTGTTAATAGCTACGGACCAATGGATAGACTTTATAGTCGGAGACGTGGCAGGTGAGCGGGGATTGGCGGCCAGACCGAATGCACAATTCGATCACATTCGCCATATTTGGTGACCATCTGTGCTCAGCAGTCGCGCATAAAACTTCTGATTAGGTTTAATTATGTGATTTGTGTAGAGGCTGCTGCACCCGCTGCATCATAATGTTTCACTGGTTGCAATCTAGTCCCTCCCGAAACTCGGTGGCGACGGCTCGGTCTCGGCGTGCCATGGTGCAATCGGCGCGCCAGGAAGATTAGGGCCTTTAATCCTGTCGGTCCCTCTCTCGCCCTTCAAGCCGGCTTCCCTGTTGAAGCAGGGAAGTCGAAGGCCAGATGGAGATCAGTGAGTGCAACGAGCTTGCACGCTTACTAAACATGCTTGGAACACACGCTTGCAAGTTGCAGGGCAAGGGGTGCCAGCGATGCTGCTGGAATATCCTTCGTTAAAGTGCTTTGATCCACACAAGCGGGATGGTCGAGTTCATGTCTCGTCCAGCGAGTCACACGTGGCAAGGAATGAACTCGCGAGGTTCCGGAGGCCTCGTGAAGATGCATGTAACTGTATTGGAGCTGTAGCAATCGTCACAGCGGGAAGCGGTCTGCAGGCATCGCCCAACTGATGCGTGTAAACAACGCCGTTCCTTCTTCTTTCCCGCCACCCTCCGTCACTAGCTCAACTTGACTACCACCGCACGTAGCTGAACAGCGCGCCTTTGTAGTATAAAGGGAGAGTCTCGCCTTGGTCTCCCGCAGAGGTGTCGTGGGGTTGCCTTATTCCTGCGTGGGCAGGCACCACACCGAAACGGTCGTGGACCAGTGTAGCTGCTCAGCATCCACAGGTGGACGAACAACCGTTGACACCTTTGATCCATCCACCTCTCCTTGTGCTACGAAATGGAGCCGTAGCGTTGTCGCTTTGCAGCTGCTTCGTTGCTGCTTCGTAGCTCCGGGTCCTTGGCGCCGCAGCAGCGTGGCAAGTGTCGTGAGGCCAAGAGTAGCGGCTGTACCGAACAGTTTTTCGCGTCGAACGTGGCAATGGACCGACCATAGCTGGGCTGGGCTTCAACGTCAGAGATCCAGTTCCGACACATCAATGCACGTGATCTCCGATGTGCTCCGAACGACGAGACGGGTAAATTCACGGCCAACGTAGCGCCGGCTGCCCTCGACACAGCGCTGTGGTCGGATCTTGTTGTTGCAGTTTCCAGCGTCGTCTACCTCGTTCTTGGCGTCCAACATGCTCCAGTCAGTCAGTACGCCACTGCAGCTCGGCAGTCACCACATCCATGCCAATCTTCACGGCTGCTCGGCCAGAGGTCTGCTGTCCCTGGGATCAAACTGGACGATGGGTGGGCGGAGGGTGTGTGTGTGTGACGCAGCGACACACACACACGCCTCCGCCCGTCTCTCTCGCCCGCTGTCACGTTCGTTCGTCTTTCTGTGCACCTCTGTGTGTGTATCTCTCTGTCCTTCTGTCTGTTGGTCGCTGCTTTCGGAGGAAAGTGTCGTTCCAGCAGCCGATCAGGAAGGAGCAGCTGCCAACGTCTGCGAGCTCTTCATTTCTCCTCTTTCTTCGTCGGAAGCTCGTCACACACGGCGGTTCACGGCGCCCCGCGTCGGTCGCAACACCAAGCAGCACTTTTTCGACCTGAAGACTGGAGACAGAGGGGCCAGCGACACAGTAGACATCAAGCATGGGCGCGCCTCTACTTGCGCTGCCTTCAAGTCAAGTCGGATGCCTTCAAGTCAGCCACGGCGACCGGCATCGTCACAGCGAGGAGGACGCGACCGACAGCTACCCCGTCAGCGGCTGGTTCTTGCTGTACGGCCCCGCGTCTTCTCACCCGGCGGGTGACAGTGTGCACCAGACCGGCACGAGCTACAGCTCCAACAACGCTGGCGATGGGCCGGAGAAGACGCGCGACCGCAAGAGCTGGTTCCCGCGCTTCAAGTCCAATTGGCTCGGCACGTTCCGGTCGCGGCAAATGTTCGATTGCTGCGAGTGCGCCGTGCTGCCGGCGTCCGCCAGGAGCTCACTCTCGAGTCAGGCTGGACGGTACAAGGGGGCTGAAGGCAAGCACTGCCGATGTGGCAAGGACCAGTGGCACCTCGCCAAGTCCGTCGAGGAGACCGAGTACAATCGCCGCATGGAGATCAGCAAAGCCTTTGGGGGTATGCGCTACGAAGAGGCTGTGCTGCGACTGCGGAGCATGGGCCAATCCGAGCTGGACTTCAAGTCATCCCGCCACGCGATCCACGTGCACCGGTCGCCGGTTGAGCCGCGCAGCACGCACGACTTTGCCTCGTCCTTGTCGTCTTCCTCCGGTCTAAGCCTGCCCAAGCGCGTCCGAAGCGTGTCAAGCGGGCCGTTCCCTTCGCAGTTCATGAAACCGGAACTGTCGTCGCTGGCAAGTCTGCCGTCACACACCTATGGCTACGACAGCAATCCGGCCAAGCAGTACAGCACCTACAATCCCGCGTACAGCAACCACGGCGTCGAGTACGCGCACGCGGCGCAGTCGCGGCACTCAGCCGAGTACGAACACCTCACGACGGCCGCGCCGTACGGAGACGAAGAGTGCTTCGGTGAGCTGCTCGAAGGTATTCTGGAGGACGACCACCGCGGGGCAGCGGGTGCACACTCCTCGGGTCTTAGTCCGAATCGAGGCCATGCGTACGCGGGGACCCGCTACAGCTACTACACAGGGGCTTCGGCTTCGACCCACAGCAGTGTCGCGCCGCTCAAGCGCACCATGAGCATGCCGTCATACGCCTCGACTCCGTCCACAATGGCATCTCCGCGTCGTGACGGTGTAGGGCAGGAATATTCGGCTGAAGCGACTCGCCGGTCCAGCTTGAACCTCGGTGCGAACCAAGCACCGTCATCGTACACGACATACCACCCGGTCCTGCACCAGCAGTCCTCCTCGCAGCAGCATTCCTATCATCATCATCATCATCAACCACAACCACAACAACAGCACCAACAACAGCATCAGCAGCAACAGCATCACAGCGCTTCAGAGCATCACCAGCAGCAGCAGCAGCACTACCACGCGTTTAGTCGGCCGCTGTCCATGACGTCCAATACGGCGACTGCCGCGTCGACGGCGTTTTCAGCATGAGTTCTGGTGGTAGTCGAGAAGGCGCAGCGTATAGTAAGTAGTCAACTAGGGAAATAGCCGAGCGAGACGGGAGCTCAAGATGGAGGGCGACTCGATGTAATATGAGCGTGCCCGTGTGTGCATTCGTCAGTGTGTGCATCGTTCGACAGTCGTCTATCTTCTGGCCGACCTTGCTACCTTTCAGCTGCCATCGTTACGTTGCCATCTTCGACGGCACAGCCACAAACTCCCTGCTCTGCGTGTGCTTGTCGTCGGGTTCCTGCAAAAAGGTCTCTAGCAACTTGTTAAAGTCCTCGGCTTTCGACAGCACGAGGTCGTTGCCACCTTCCGGTACGATCTCCAGTCGAGAGTGCATGATGCGCTCACTCAAGTACTCGCTATGGAACAGCGGCACGAACTTGTCTTGTCCGCCACCGACGACAAGCGTCTTGCACTTGATATGCGGCAGGTGACCGCAGTACAGATCGCCACCATCGTCACGTTCCACCTGACGCAGCGCCTCCACCATGTCTGCAGCATGAGAAAAAAAAAGAGAGAGAGAGACGCACACACACACACCAAACGGACGTGACGTTCGCAACAAAGCAGAACAAGAAGCAGCAGTAACAGTCCACAAGACAAACAACGTACGGGTCCATTTCTCCTGCACGTCGTCAGCTCCACACTTTTGTTCCGCCGTCTCCCGCATCTCTCGATCCCACGACTGGACATCACTGTGCTCTTCCAAGTCCTCCAAGTCTTCATCACTGACAAAAGCCTGCCGCATACACCCACCCACAAACACACAAACACCCACATACAAAATAAATCACAAACAAGAGAGCATCCCAACAGCGTCAATATCTCAGCTTCTAGAGCCCCTCAGCAGCTGCTACTTGCACCATTTCAACGCGACGTACATTGCCGTTCACCAGCACGAGTCGCGCCACTCGTTCCGGGTATTTTGCCGCCACTACGGCGCTCACATTCGCGCCGTGACTCGCGCCCAGCAGCGAAAACGTCTCGAGCTCCAGCGCATCAGCCGCGCGCATCACGTCCTCCGCGTCACGCTCAATGCCTCGTCTGCCCCATCGAGAGTCTTGATCTGCAGTAGCAAGACGCAGGTCCAGTCCGTAGAGCGCCCACGAGCGCGCGAGCTGTTGATCGGCCAATTGCCGACGGAAATCGCGAGCGACAGAGCCGAAGAGAGACGGGAGACAGAGGAGCGGCTGCTGCGCTGGCGTCACGGAGACCGGTGCGAGCGCAGAGAGGAGATCGCCGTATGTGTCGGTAGGTAGTTGCAGCCGTCGGAAGGCCGCGGGCGTCGTCGAGACGTGGCGTCGAAGCGGGCGGAGGACGCGCATGAGCAAGGACGAGGTCGACGGCTTGAGTCTGCGAGTGTTTTGGAAGCTGGTGGGATCGAAAGATGGAGGAGTATTAAGTGTACGAGGGAGTTGCAGGGTAGCGATGCAGGATAAGCACGCTGTCCTGATGATCGTGCACGAGCAGTCGAGACGTTTCTATGTTTGTTTGACATGAGGATGTTCAAGAGATTGCAGTACGTCGCGCATGTTGGCGTGACGATTTTGCTCTTTGTGCGAAAAGAAAAAACAGATGCTCTTAAACTCAGCGGTATACGTTTCTTTCCGATTGTCGATAAAAAGTTTGAGCAGGATAATTTAGTCGTCGATCGCCAATCGGATTTACTGCCACAATATCGATATTAGATTTACCTTTTATTTGATAGTATCTACTATTATTAAAGATCTAGAAGTGTTCAGTGATCAATACGCAGCTCGCGATGCGAAGAAGTCATGTGATAATGGTACAACAAATCTCTGACATTCGCCATTCTATTTCCTGTACACGACACAGGCAGTAGCAGAAGCTGCCGACAAGTGCACTGTCAAACGAATGCGTTGAATCGAAAAAATTATACTGCTGCTTTGATGAGAAGGACATGGCTTCGTCAAATGAGGTTTGTTTATTTCGGTAGTTGAAGAAGACGGACGGCATACTTTTCGCCGTAAATGAACCGCTGTTGATGAGACTGCATGTTTAGTACGCAGTACTGTCTGTCAGACGTTTTGGACTTTGCACATGTTGCTGAGCTACCACTCTTCGAGGCCGAGACGTGCAAATGCACCGATCAAGTAGCACGAATTTGAGATTTGATCAAGTGGAGAGTCATTTGCAGGCTGAAATAGCTGCAGATTAATCAGTGACTGACGCAGATGAAGAGGACGTCCAAGCGAAAGCCAGAATGGGTGATGTACATGTGATGTCTCGATGACCTCGTCAAGCAACTTGCCAAGCAGGAAGTACCACCAATTGCTGCATTTTTCACTTTCCTCGACGATCCGATGGCGCAAAGTGGCTGCAATGAAGCGGCATCTGCCACTTCTAGTCGAACTGGTCTTCCGGATCTGGTATATAATATGCCGCGAGCACAGATCGAGCGGTGGTTCGCTTGGCATGCCTTCAGTGGCATTTACAGCTAGCCTATTGCTCTTGGTTAATTTTTTCGATTTTGATTGGAGACGTAACAAATGATGCAAGTTGAAGACCCGGCGGAACAGCGAAACGCTCATCTTACCCACGGAATGCAGCATCGATGTATCGGGACACCCACTTTGACTGTCGGTACACCTTCGTACCAGTAGCATCGCATCCTTTACACTGGTAATATCACACCCTAGCCCAAAAAGACCGAAATACGAGCAGACGACAGACTGTACGCTACGCAACACTACGCAATGCAAATTGTGCATCAGGCATTCCAGTGTGCACAGATTAAAATTGTTGTATCAGAGTACACATGGATCCAAATCACAAGAGGTAAAGTGAAGTGGAAAGACAAAGCAAAAACTGAACGAGTATGACGAAGATGCGTCGGTCCTTATCGACATAGGGCCCCCGTTGGTTGGGCGTATCCACCAGTGATTGTCATGGATGATGGAGAGCTCAACATCGTTTCTGCTGGCTGCTCTTGACTCGTTATTGAACATACTCAAATACTAAAAAGCTTTTGACAGAAAGCCACTTGCTCCGACCAGTCTACCTCTCGTGACAATGGGCACAGGATGCTGAAAGGATACTTGGATCTGAGGCTATGTGTCGATTGCGTCGTGAATAACGATTTGTTATGATAGCATCGCACCACTCTTTGATGGATGTTGCACTTGCTGCTGCTGTGGCTGAGAAGGGTTCTACTGTTAGGTTTGCTGCAAGATTGGCTGAGCGCTTGTGGTTAAGATCTCGCACTCCAACTCAATCTTCTACTAGATGTGTCTACCTCTCGTGACAATGGGCACAGGATGCTGAAAGGATACTTGGATCTGAGGCTATGTGTCGATTGCGTCGTGAATAACGATTTGCTATGGAAGCATCGCACCACTCTTTGATGGATGTTGCACTTGCTGCTGCTGTGGCTGAGAAGGGTTCTACTGTTAGGTTTGCTGCAAGATTGGCTGAGCGCTTGGGCTTAAGATCTCGCACTCCAACTCAATCTTCTACTAGCTTTCTTGTCCATCGTCCTGTATAACGATGCACCATGGACTTTCAAGACGATGGGTACCTGTGCTACGTAAACTATACCGTCCGACTTGTTTTTCACCACGGCCACACCATACCAAACGGTTTCCTCTTTTGAGCTTCTACCTTTGCTCCGCAGCATGACCCTTCTGCATTGGACGCAAACTGAACCGCAGTATGCGCACCTGCTATAGTCTCGTGCGTATCAGCCAGAGCAAGCGTGGCGGTAAAAATACATGATGAAAGAGTTGATGTATGTAGGAGATTTGAAGGAGGAGTACAAGGTTTCGTGTGAAGGGTCCAGCATTATAGTTGAAGATGGACATCCGAACGCAATGGAAAAGCTAGGCAAAAAGTGTTGTCAAGTGCTTGTCGAAGCCACTCCACGGTGAGTGTTTGATTACCGGTTAGATGGGTGTATGGATGCTCAAAGTAAGTGTGCGGATATCAATTCCCACACAATACTGCATTTCGGAGCTTGCCCAATATTTCTGAGTGTATTGCATGTGTTGCAACAGCATTCTCCGGACAGAGCGCTGGATATCGCAGAAGAAGTCAATCATTGCTCACGATCACCAATGAGTTCGAGAACGTGGTAGAAAAGCAATCCGTGCCATTACTGACAAGTAGAGCAAATTGCCTGAAATTCCAGAATGACGACACGAGTGATAATGATAAAGCTGAAACACCACGGCGATGGCGATGACATAGAGGATGATGGCAGCTAACGGATGATACACAATTTTCGCCTTACTAGTGATCACTGCGGACGCTTGCCCCTTCAATAGCTTGACGTGCCACAGTTCCATTGTGATCACATTAGTGGCCAAAATAGATTTCACATTTGTCGTTTACGCATGATTGAAAGCTAACTGCACCCACATTTCTCTATCACGGCACAATCAAACCAGCATAACGTAGTTGAGCCGGCCCCCAACTTGTGAGATCTGCCGCTACGTCCGTATCGTGAGTCAGTGATGGAGAGAAGTATGTGACGGAGAAACGTGAACATACTCGGTATGTTATAAGCGAGCCGGCCATTCGAAATTGTAAAACAAATCTTGGCGACACTACGAATCCGGCTCTGATGTGCAGTAGTCAAGATGTGGTGTTCAGCGCGACTTTCCCCGGTACCGTTGGCAAAGTGGAGTCGCACCCTTTGTATTTTCAGAGACTTTTCGGTTTACCTCACTCGGTCATCGCCTGGATACACCACGACACGAAGCAGCCCAAATCGAAACATCAAGTTGAGCTGCGAAAATGGAGCGTAAAGTATTGGCGACCGAGTCACCGGACGCAAACGAGTTCTCGTCTGTAGCTCACGCGGAGTAGCAGTGGCAGATGGCTTACTCAAACATAGTTGGAGGCAGCAGTAAATACGCATCCAGCAATTTCGAGCTTGATTGTGCAAAACGTATCGTAGTATCAAGCAATCCTTTGTCTTACTGGCGATTGTCACGACCTGGGATTTTACACCGGCCTGAGTGAACACGAGAGCACTATCTCGACCAGAAAACGGCTGGTGGATGGTCCGGAAGGCCCACGCAACGACAATCTGCGCTTGCGCTTCGCACGTGTGTTAAGTGCTCGTTTAGTCACGATCGGAAGGAAAGGGATAGGAAGATAGGAGACGAACACATGTATGTGCAAGTGCCTGATACTCCCCTCCGACCGTCAAGAGTCAAGCCGCAGAAGGAGGCGTGACAGTCCTGTAAACGCAGGCGGCAATGAAATGGAAGGCAAATGGTATTTGGATAAACGTAGCTTTCACGTGTATGGTAGGCTGCATTGCCGCAATCTACTGCACTATTCACACAGCTCAGACAATACTGATGAGCAGAACGAAGAGGTAGCTTATAATTCTATGCGACAGAGGTGCATCTACCACCTGACAATGGCGTTACCACTCATTGAGTGTAGGGCCTGGTAAACCAAAAGACGAGGCGCCACGAGCCACAAACCACTTTAGAAGGTAAACGGATCCAGGACCTTGCCAGGGGTATAGGCCGTGATGTTCTTCTCAGCGAAGTCGTTGTCCTGCTGGGTCACGTCGCCTTCCTCCGATTCATCTGGTGAGGGCGCAGCAGCCATGAACGCCACCACTGACTCGGTGGGCTCTTCAATGGCAGACCGAGCAGGGTGCGAAGACTTGCACTTACCCTCAAACTCATTGGCCATGACCTTGATGTTGATCGGGAATCTGCCGGGAATCATAATCACGCAGTCGGGCGGGTTGTGTTCCTTCACTTTGGCGATGAGCGTGTGGCATTCGGCCACACCGCACATAGCAAGTTCCTGCTCGTGGTTGGCCGGCGCCGCGGCGGTCATAAAGTTGTAGCGCGCGATATCGCCACACACTTTGAGCTCGGGGCACCCCAGGATGTCCGTCATCGAAATAATAGTGGCTTGCGTCGCTTCAGGCGAGCAACCTCCTTCACCGTTCACAGAAGTAGCGATGGCTAGGGCGATGGCAGCGATTGCGAAGTGCGTGTTCATCTTGAGTTGACGAGTGTCGGAGAGGAGTGGCAGGAGGCAAATTGCAGAATGAGATCGGCGTCAAGGCATTTTTTCAGGGACCGTCGAGACCGCACGGGCCTGCGCATGACACGGAGGAGGAGGAGGAAAAGCAGTGAGCGGCGAGCGACTGATTCAAGTCGCCCGTGCTCAACAAAAATGGACGAACCAAGACCTTAAAAAGGGGCATCCCCTTGAAAGAGCTGCTTCTGCACTCCGTCTCTGCACGATGCAAGAGCGCTGCAGACGTCTGAGGCGGCTGAAAAGTGAATCTGCTCATAGGAATAGGGGGAGGTGAACCCACTCTTCGTGCCACACGGCTCCCTTCTACGCAGGACCAGGATCGTTTCAAGACGTCTGTAGTTAGTCGCGTGCCTCTAAGTTCAGTAACTCCACTGACTGCATCAGCTTTTCACTGCGGGCCCGGCTCGACTGGTCCGAATCTGCGCCGCAGTTTCTTGCTGATATCAGAACTGCGCTCTCTATCGTCTTCCTGGCTTTGGATCCACCGATGCACGGACATGGACCGCTCAGTCATTGACTGGAAGAATGTATCGAGCATCTGAACGCATGTAGAAGCGCGACTACTGCTGCAGAGTTGATGTCAATTGCCACAAAGGACGCGCTTGTACCACCCGCTGACACCCGCATGCTAATCAAGACGACGTCATTGACGCCGACTGATCATAGAAAAGATCCTTCCTCTCCATCGTACGGATTTTCAGTGTCAGCTCCGTTGCGACTTCTGTGCTCAACGAAGTTAACAAGTATCCGTTGTAGCAAGGCCGGTCGAAGTGTGGCACGATCTAGCAGGGAAGAGAAGTATGATCTTGTCGCAACGATAGGAAGAAGATCGGTGCGATCTCCGCTCTATGCAGGTGAACGCGAAGCTGAGCGACGAGGGAGCCGCACGTCCAACCGATAGATTGTACGCGATAAGGCGAGCGGAGCAATCTGAGCAGAACTCGCAATCGAAAACCTAAACTTGTCGACGTAGCTGCTCCTCCAGGATTGATGCCATGTGCGTCCGTCCATCGCAGAGAAGCGGTGGAGAATTCGCAGTTCTATGCATGCCCAGGTTAATCTGATCGAGTACGGGGACAAGTCTGCGGGCGGCTAGAGAGTACCCGCCCCCCAGAACGTTAGTACCCTAATGTCTTGCACGTCTTGCCAGAGAGGAGGTTCAAGAACAAATTAAGATCAGCATGTTTCGATTGTAGTGTCTTTCATCACGTTTTGGCGGAGGGCTTGGTCTGCATTTAGAGTGCTGTATGTTCAACTAGATCGACAATGCACTGGACGACACTGGGCGAAGAATACACGGTGGTGAGATGCATCTCGTGTCCTCCAGGCCGGAATAGGAGAGGGGAGCAAGCTCTGGAGCTCGCCCTTAGACACAAGTAATCCATTTTGGAGAACTGAATCAAGTTGCAAAACACTACACAACAGCAGTGACTGAAGAATGAGCATGATGCTGTCAATGTCCCTATTAACCTAGTACAGTACGGTTGGCTAACGCGGTCGGCCTGTGCTTATGAGTGTCTGGCATTTGCTTGTGCGATCAAATTCACCTTTGACTGATTTTAAGCCAATCACATGCGTGCATCACAATAGTGACCGAGCCATAGAGTGACACCTATCATGCTGATCGACCTAGCGTTCGCTTCTCCGATTTTCAATCATGTTTTCCACTCGGCTATGATAGTGTACACCATATCAACTTCACCGCTCGTTCCTCAATATGCCTCACCTTCAACAACAACATACCAACTTCACCCAGCGACGAGGTGCGACAATTTACGAGCTGCTCTATTTGCCGTAGCAGCGACCGAGCAGGTAACGATCCTGTTCCATCACATCATCTAGTGCAAGGGTTTTACTGTGCGCGTCGGCGCAGATGGTGGGAAATACTTTCCTCAGACAGACGGCGCACGGGCCCTTTGACCCGAGATACTCGGTAAGACACGACTAGTGAGTTACGATTGAAGCACGTCCGACGTACTGCATCATCACGAGCAGAGAACGGTGGTAGACTGCCGTATTCTGAACCGGCTTGTACTCGACCACGTCATACGAAGAACGAGTCAATGCGTGCTGGCGAGAAGTGAGCTTTGATGGCGCATGGTCACTGTAATTGCTTGGCTTTGCACATTTGCGGGAGATACTGTAGTTGTCCATGCTACGTTGACGATCGGTGCTCTTCTTTGCGATTGTCCTTGCCACAATATGGTAATCAAGTGGGAGACCGACCTTGCACTTCTTTCCAGCTTGCTGTCCGCGCGCAGCTGGCTCTACTTCTTAGATAGCCTTCGCGATGAGCTTAGGGCGAGCAAACATGCGGGGTACCTTATATTCGGCTTGACATAGCGGACTCTCGTTCACGTTCTCTTGTTGCAGTAAATATGAAGGGAGGATCGTATCGGTACCTTGTGCATATGTACACAAGAAGCCATGCTCAGATACTGCTGCGCCACTTAAACACCGACAGAGTCACTGTTATAGTCGTCTACGTCTTGACACGGTAAATGCTGGACTAGAACTTTTGCAACCAACCTGTTGGTCCCATCTAGAGCTGCGTGGGACGTGCAGTATCAACGCGCTAGGGACGTGCTTGCTTACATTGACCATCCGTTTTCATCGATTGCGTGCGCGGAAGAAGGTCTTTAAAGACCGCTACACCGCCTTTGTCTGCTCGCTCGCTCGCTTTACGTATGCATTCGGACGGCTGCAACGAAATCCGGCGACGATACTGGTGCACTTTTGACGGGTTTGTGTAGACGCGGACACGTATCACGGCATTTCTATTGCGTCCATCAATCTCTCTTACACTTCCAGAGATCGATGTTGGCAGCGACACGACGTCGCATTCCCCGTAAGCTGGTGTAGCTCGTATCGTATAAGGTGGCAAGCAACGGAGGTAGCACTAAGCACCCTTCCTCTCCTCGTAACCTACACCAAGGCCTATCGAACGCTCCAGTCAATAGGATCTTTGCCATGCTTTTCGAGGTAGCTGTTGGCACGCGAGAAGCACTTTGATCCCAGGAATGGCATGTTCGTCTTGGTGGCACCCAGTGGTGACGGATGCGAGGAACGCACCACGAGGTGTCGATTGGAGTCAATCAGCAGACTCTTTTCCTGCGCAGGTTTCCCCCACAACAGAAAGACAACGTTGGAAGCGTCTTTACTAACCTTGGAGATGACAGCGTCTGTAAACTGCTCCCAGCCGCGCTTCTTGTGAGAGTTAGGCTCCCCCCGACGCACGGTCAGCACCGTGTTGAGGAGCAGCACACCCTGACAGCTCCAGCACGACAAACAGCCGTGTGCGGGACGAGAAATGCCGACATCGTTCATCGCTTCTTTAAATATATTCTTGAGGCTTGGGGGTGGCGGGACCCCGAGACGCACTGAGAAGCTCAATCCATGCGCCTGTTGCGGTCCGTGGTATGGGTCCTGGCCCAAAATCACCACCTTCACACCAGAGAACGCGCAGTCCTTCAATGCTGCAAAGACATTGGCTGGAGATGGATAGATGACCTTCTTGCGCTCTTCCTCGGCCTGTAGAAAGCGTGTCAAAGCTTGGAACGACCCGCGGACAAACTCGTTTTGCAAGAGCCCGAACCACGACTCGTGCATGAGCGAGCGTAGTAGCACCGTCTTTTGCAGCTCCGTGAAGCGTGTCACCTCCTTCGAACCACTCTGCTCTTCCCCCTGGTCACTACTTTGCTCATGCTCGACATCCGTCTTCGTAGTGCTGCTCTCAACGAGTTCGAACGTGTTAATCACTGCTTTTTGCTGCTCAGAAGTATCGTTTACGTCCGTTGTGCGGCACCTTTTGGCCGGTGGCGGCGCAGCTCCGAAGAACGAGCGGATATCACGCGTCATTTCGTGTGTCCGTAGGTCTGTGCCAATCAACTCAAATGCCATTTGTACGGCACGGTTTTACCATCTTTACAGCACTTTATCCTTGGCCAGTCGTCGTCGTCGGCCGATCCTTAAGAACGAATATCCTACGTGCCAATGTGCCGATTCAAAAGGGTTGGCAGGACACCTGTGTCAAACGACTACTGCGTGCTAAGACAGCGGAGAGCACGGTTCGATCATCTCGAGCTAAAGCCAAAGGACTTCGGAGCAGTGTCCCCGAGGCATCGGGTAGAAACTAGTGTGCAACTGCTTCCCTAAAACCACATTCTGATCGATGGAGTCTTGGTCAAATTAGTGACTTGACAATCAAAACCACTGAAGGTGAAATCCATACAGGAGGCGCACAAGAAGTTGCTCATGATACTGGATCAGCAGCAATTTGTTTCTTAAGAAGCAAAGAAAGTCTTCCAGCATTTAAATTACGTCCATCTTTCAGGCTCAGGTAGTATCGATCTTGCTGCATCAACCTTTCCAGACTGCACTTGAACTCGGACTGGCTTGCATGGGACTATTGTGGTACGACCGACACCCCTTTACCGGTTTAAGCGAACGCACAATGCCAGAGCCTAAGCTCCTTGCCCGATAACCTCACAGGCAACGTCAGTAGTGATGGTAGCGCTCTAGGCAACTAGCAGCGGTGCTTAAAGGTAGAATCGGAACTTGTAATAGGGCGAGCCCGTTACCCTCACTCAATTTAGGAGCTTCACCGTTACTAATTTTGCACCTTTATCCTAAACCCTTTGTTTGTAGTTTGAATCCGTTCCAAATTTAGTAGTAGTACTTTCCAATCTAGCGTGTCGATAAAGTCGGAATTACACCAAACCCACGATGTCATTCCATGACAAGCTCCTAGTAGAATGTATTGGATCAAAAACTCGTACTCTTCTGCCCTGCTAGAGCACCGTCTCAAGCCTCGAAAGATTGATCTCAGCGCGCACCTGCTATGCACTTCGTGAACATATTTGTGCTGATTTCACGTCTGTCATCTTTCAAAATTTGCGCAAGGAAGGGGGGGGGTTGTGACCACCAACATGCGCTTCCACCCTGAGCATTCCACAGTGCGTCACAACTACGGCAAAAGACTCTGTTGTGGTAGGTCAGAAGCACTATCTATCACGTTTATTGTAGCATGCCATGATAACAGCAATACCTGAAGATCGATCGCTCGACTGTAGATAGTTTGACCCTTCATGACCGCAGGATGTCCGATCTATACACCCAGCTAGCTCAAGATTATACGTCGAAGTTGGTGGAATCTTAAAGGACGCGTTGTCCGATGTATTTGACCTATAGTGTGCAAGTAGAACCATTTCTGGCTGACTCATGTACAAAGCTAGATGGTCTCGAAGTTGTTCTCGAGCAAGGAATTGGAATGAACGACTTATCCACGTGAAGATTGGACATACCATTCTTTTGTTCACGGCCAAGCAGGGACTGGGCCTGGTCATGGAAACGATCAAGAGGATGGAGAAGAGACGGATCTCTCTACTTCGCGCAAGAGCAGAAGCTAGATTTCGCGAGGACCTGAGGGACGGCAGCAAACCTCGAATACGGCAACTTCCAACTGTATTGATATGAGTGGAAGCAGCACAAATCGGGACCAGAGCACCGAGTGACTGCTTACGCCTTGTCCTGAGTGTAGTGGTATTAGTACTCTGTTCGTCTACAGGAAGAACGCCACTGTATACCCAATATTACTCTCAAGTCTCTTTCAATTTCATCGAGTGTGACGAGAATAAGTTTGCATTATAAGCGCTTCGTACGTCTCGTCGGGGTTATATTTCAATCTTTTGGTACCGACCTATGAGTGGGTGCGTGTCGTCATCTATGAAAACTATATTGTGTATTTTGACTTCACTCCACACCAGAATGAGATGTCCTGGTATCAGCACTACCTCCGGGACAGGTAATTGCGAGCCTGAAGGGTGAAGCTGTTAGTGAGTGTGCGCAAGATGAATCCCGAGCTTTTTTAAATCGTATTTATCAGTCTGCCTGTGTGTGTCTGCGTCTGTAAATAGGGAACATAAAACATGCCCCATTTAATCACGACAATAACAATACCCCAGATAATCGGAAGATAAAAAAAATGTCTTATTCGATCACGAAAATAAAAAAAGCCACAAATCCTTAGATACTCAAGTAAAAGCGGTACACAGAAAAACTCATATCTTTATCATATCCCATTTCTTAATGTATAGCTGTGCTTGACCCCCGCCCTGTAGGGGGAGCCGCAAAGCGTTTACCGCGGTCTTGCTGCGCTCCCATCCACCTCTGGTGTGAGTGGACAGCACAGGAAAGATGCAAATGCTACTTTGTATCGTTAGCCACAGCCGTGAACGTAGACAACCGTTGCTGATATCATTAATGGAAATATTTCTGATCTTGTTTTGTTAGTGTTATTGTTTTACGTAATTATTTATTGCCATTTTATTTTTGTTTCAGTTTGTCATGTCGTTGTTGCTGCTACCGCTGCCGCTGCCACAGTAGCCTTTGTTGCTGCTACCGCTGCCGATGCCGCTGTAGCCTTTGTCGCTGCAAGATTCTATGATGACCATGTTGCTTTTGTTACTGCTGCTGGTGGTGCTGCTGCTGCTGGTGTCATTGATATTATTGTTGTCGTTGCTGCTGTGGCTTATTGTTGGTGCTGGTAAAGCTGTTGTTTTTGCTGGTGTTACTGCTCCTTAATCTACCGCTACTATATCTACTGCTGTTAGTGCTCGTATAGTTACTACGGTTTTGTGATGTTTTTTGGTACTTCAGTGCTGCCGTTACAGTGGCTTAGTTGTGGGATAGGTATACGTTTCCTGCTCGTAAGCTGTGGTAGCTTTATCTTTTATAATCATCAAACAGACAATGATGAATCCATTCTGTTTGTGTGACTCTCATTTTGCTAATTTGAAGGCTTTACCAGTGCTGATGGCAACATTTCAGTACTGTTGCGGGATTCGTTAGTGCTGCTAAAAGCTTTTAAACTCCAAGGACTATAAGCTGGACGTGGAAAGCGCAAGAAACAATGGCAACACACACAAGACATTGGAATTAATCGAAGTGTTAACACAATGCAACATGCATATCATAGTACAATTTCTTTCATTAATTTGTACATAAACGTGCAATACGGACTTCAACAAATTTTTGTCGGACTGCATCCGCCAGCACTTGGTATGTGAATCTTTAACGGTAATATCTGGTGCCACACCACCTGCTGCGTTGTTCGATGTGCTATAAACCTACTTTCCGTATACTTGTAACGTAAATTGGTGGTACCCCCAGTTTGCTGATTGACACTGTTGGCAGTGGTAACTGACCATGTTTTTTCTATTGCAATATATCACAAGCTGTTATCATTGTAAGACTCATTAGACTTGACAGAAGCATATTTTTAAAGCTATTTTGACCGATGATTCATACATACGGGGTCGCTCACGTACCCTCCCAAAAAGTCGGACAGTGCTGAAAATGAAACATAGATCCCAGAGTATCATCCAATGTACTACAAGAAATTATATATGATGTCAGACTTTTAAGGCGACAATTAATATAATCCGGAATGGGGACCAATGGGTCACTGATTCGAAAAACCTCCAATTTACGACCGCCCGGTAAACCACCGGGTCGAACCAGCAAAACTTGTTCCGGGTCAGATTCTTAGACTCAAAGAAAGCAGGTTTAAAGTTCGACATAAACCTTGTGCACGGTCACTAGCAGCTTCATTCTTCGGGCTCGCAAAAAGTAAAATCTTCGCTGGTCAAAATGATTATATATCATGACCGTGAGAGATATGCATTGGTCAATTAACACACGGTGTCGATGATGTGCAAGATTTCGGGTAAAAACTGAGCTATACGATAAGCGCAGGGGACCAGGGAGCAAACCGATGCTAGTATTAGTAATAATTGGCGACCTATAGAATTGGCTCCAGATGCTGATGCATGCATACAGTATGGCATCTATTGTGACTCATTTACCATACATTACTCTCTTTATCTATCTCCAGGAAAGTGGCTTGTGCACAAATCCAAGAAACTTCGTGTGTTCCCTCGAACGTAGATCGTGGCTGCTCATCGTACCGTCGCATTCTTGTAATCCTTAAATCTTTGTTTGGCATATTGTTGCAAGAAAATTCCAGATTCTGACTCACGCATTTCTGCCTCCCCTTTATGATCATATATTACGCACAAGGACGTCCTTCCGGTGCGCGGATATGCAGCAAGCATATTCGGTAAATGATCAATAAAAAACTGTTGTGTCTGCTGGCAAGATGCGCGCTCTTCCGTTTAAGGTATGACAAGTTTGTTTACGATGACGCTGTGTGATCACACTTACAGAACAAGTGAGCCAAGGTCTCTACTTGTCTCTGGCAGGCTGGTCTTTTTTGCGCTGTTGCTACCGGTATGCATAAAAAAATTGGAATTGAGTTGCGGTGTCACGATACGGTATCATGTACACATTTGGTAATCTGTGATGCTCTAATTATGTTTTTACATTTGACTTGGGGTACGACAGAGTGCAGCAAGATTAATGTGTCGGTAAAATAGTAGTTTTAAAAATCTATAACCACATCGAATTAATGCTTATACACCCAAAAAGCCGAGTAATATCGCGAATTTATCTACTACATGAGTATAAATCAATTCGCGAATCATTACTTTCGATTTAGTTGAAGGCTTTAAGTAAACATTGCCGTTCGTCATCTCGACCTCTGTAGCGGATCTACTTAGCGCTCCTTAACAGAGAAAGTCTTAAACTCAAAGAGCATCTTAGTTGTAACAAACTAACAACGACGCACAGTCGTTCAAGCGTACAAGCTTAACAATTCCGGTTCCAAAGGGATTACAATTCACCAAATCACACACTTACTAGTCACTACTAATTAAACAAGAGTAAGCGCCTTGACAAGGCTAAAGCTCTTAACAACACACTATGCCTTGACTAGGCACTAGCGTCCAACGAATCAAAAGGGAAACCGAACTTTATTTGTTCTTTAAATGCGGTAATAAAACCCTAAAACTTTATCGTACTGACTTCTTCGTTGCGATCTTATGACAGAAGTCGTATCCCTTATCCTTACCCGATAAGATATAGTATTACCGTAAGTAAGTGGTACCAAGACTGTACCGCTTAAATCCACCGATTTTTACTCGGTGTGGACACACAACAAAACCGGTCCAACAACCGCGTGTGACCCCGTACGACCCCTCTCGCCAAACTGTCGACACCCTTATGTCGACAATTTTTCCACTGCTCTTTGAGGTCTCAAAAATCTGATTCTGACTTTCGTGTTTACAACACATTTCAGAATGACTGAGTCAAACCCTTCGTCTAACACCCTTGAGGAGATCTTTAAAGAGGGAATGGTGGACTACGAGAGCGATACCGTCGCGTTGAGTGTCCATGATCTTCTCCAGCTACGCTACTGGCAGGTAACACGTCGCGCGTTATCCATTCGTGGTATGCGATGAGATTCCTTCCACCTTGCACAGCGTGCAGTCGTCGAGCCTGTCTTGGGTGTGTTGCAACACTCTTGATAAAAAGCAGGCTCAATATCTTCGATTGGTCGATGACCGCAGGCGTCAAGCACAATTTGTAGCCACAGGCATGCTCACAGTGGTTTCCACTTCACACAAGCGAGCGTGGATGAACGCATTTGTCGGACTGCCGAGCAGTCACTCGCAACATGGGGTCGGGAACTAAGGCTGACACAGCCACACCACTAGTGGAGAGAAGGATCTCAGAGAGAGATATTCGGGGGTCGAGCTCATGGACGTCTAAGAATACCTCTACAGGATAAATCAGCAAGCACGAGGTGCGTCAGTGTCCGTTATGCGGACAGTACCCGTCGTTCTCTTCCCTGGTGAGACAGAGGCGGGAATGAGGTCGTCTTCACGCGTTGGGCTCACCTAACTCGCCGTCTGCCAAGCCTGTCAAATATCCAAGAGAGCGCTTCACTTACTGACGTTTGGCTGAAACGAAAGCTGCTCTTTGACTTTGTAAAACAAAAGTCCAAAGGATAACTGCGATCGTTCGATCGCACCCGCTATGCTACGGCAGCTATAGACCCGCACACTAGTGCACCTGCTGCAGCTGTAGCCCCTGCCACTCCCGAACCGACCAGTGAATTTTCATATGTTTCGACTGAACTTTAAAGGCTACGTTCAAAAACGTCAACAGCGTACGAAAACTCGTGCCGCAGTGGCACTTCGTGCTCCCATGAGTTCTCCGACGCGAGGTACATCCGCCACTGTATCAAGAACTGGTTTTGACCGTCGCGACGGCGTCGCCGCAGGAGACATCCTTCATGGTTTTGTCGATCCCTTTGCTCGTCAACGAGAGCAGGCGGTGGTCGGTCAATCTCGACGCGTCGTCGACGAGTTAGTGCATGAGGTGCATGATCTTCGTGACCGCGTGGCGCGTCTTGAAAAACAAGTGGGTCTTACCTTAAGGGTCCCTCGACTTGTGGAAGCACCAACTCCTTCAGCACAAGCGCCTCGTGATCCACCGCGACGGATCAAGAAAAGTCGCTAACAATTGGACGTAAAACACTAGGTGTTTCACATCTTGCGTAGAAGGTTGAGAGTGTACGCTAGGCCTTTCTTGGCCACAGCCGTTACGGCTCAATGAAGTGAAGAAGCAACTTGGTCCTAGAGATTGCTGACACCAGCTTGGTATGTAGATTCTTAGCCATAAGTTATACTAGGTCTCCAACTTTATAACTCTTAATACACTTTCTGCCTTTAGCATCAGATTGTTCCTTTTTTTGTCCTGGATATCAGCCATCGCGTCACGTACATGTCTTAATACATTCAATCGCGTAGCGAGAAACTCTCCCACCTAATTTTGAACAGTTTTAGGGATGACATCAGCAAGCCGATCGGCTCGTCCTCCCTTAACAAGTCCAGAATCACGTACTGGATGCTTTAACGGAACGCGTGGGTAAGTTAGACCATTCACGTAGAACAAGTAAATCCCGAAGATGCATTAGCAGCGTTATTTAACGCAAACTTGTCCACAGGAAGCATAGAGCTTTAAATCTTAGATGCATCAGCGCAAATACTGACCAAAATTTACCAATGACACGGTTGACACGCTCAGTTTGACTATCGGTCTGCGGAGGATCCGCTGTGGACATGTTAAACCTGGTTATCAGCACGTTGAAGATGAAAGCCAGAACTTGCAACACGTGGATATAGATAGGAGACAAATGAAACAGGCAAACCGTGTTGAAGAAACACAAGGTTGATAAACGGCTTGCTGTAACTTCGCTAATTAATGGAATCAGGTACAGCCGCTAAATGAGCCGTCTTGCTCAAGCGGTCAACAAAGACCACAATAGCAGTGCTGCCTTCTGAATCCTTCGGTAGGCCAAACACAAGTCCGCACTGATGGACGTCTAACACCCAGTGGGTGAAGACAAGCTAGCAAGCGTTTCAACCGCGTGTACTGAAGGTTCGTCCCGTCTACACGTTTCATATGTACGCGCATATATACTCATCCATTTATAGAACTTGGGTCACTAACACGTCCGGCTAACTGAGCTATACGTCTTGTCACGACCGAGATTACCGCTTAGCGCAGTGGCTTGTGCCTCAAAGTGGATAAGATACTTCAAGTCTTCATCATGAGGGACAACAATGTGAGGCACATCCTCAACACCCGTATAATAGCACCATATCCTACGATCGATGGCATATCGATGTAGGCTCCCAGTAAACGTTCCAACAATTTGGTGTCCGAGTCTTTAAGCTCCTCGCTTCCACGAGCGTGTAGCAATGCTTTACATTACTCATCACGTGCAAATGCATCACAAATTAGATCCACAGTGGATGACGACAGAGTCGTAACATAAGTAAGATCATCATCAGGTCTGTGTGACAACGCATCATCTAAAGCACTTTCCTTGCCCGCCTTATACTTCACCTCTAAGTTGTATTTAGCAAAGAAAGAATGCTAACGGGCTATACGCTATGAGAGGTGAGGATACTGTGTTGCAGTGCGTAACGACGCACGATCGGTGAAGATCACAAAAGTCGTTAAGTTAAGTAGGTGGACTCTGAACTTGAAGAGAGCATATTTCACTGCGAGTAACCCCTTGTCGTGAACTGAATAGCTCTTCTTTTTAGCTTTGAGCTGGCGAAATTCATACGTAATGACGCGCTCATGTCCATCGACATCTGTCTACGATTATGCAAAACCAATAGCAAAATCAGACGCGTCACGGAAGGCACTGAAAGGCCGCTCAAGGTCAGGCAAAGTCAAAAATGAAGCATGAATGAGACTGTCCTTTATAGCCTCAAAACCTTGAGCATGTTCTGCGTCCCAGCACCGAACTGCACCCTTCTTGAGGAGTTTGGTTAATGGCCGTGCCATTTAGCGTACTTTGCACTGAACTTGTGCAAGTAAATAGCAAGGCCGAGCCGTTAACGCAAGTCCCTTTTATCGAAGAAACTGGCCGGCTAGTGAACAAATGACTTTACCTCAGCCGGATCCGCTCGAAAACCACGCTTTCCAATGAAGCACCCGAGAAAGGTAATTTCTTCTGCACCAAAAAAGCATTTGATGCATTTGCATACATCTTTTTGTACGCTTGCACTCGAGCACTGCTCGCATATGGTCAATGTGATTTTCCACATCTGATCTGCCATAATCTGCACGGCTATAAACAAATGTTTCATCGGAAAAGCTTTGCGCATATCCTCATTGAGGTTGGAACAATTTCGTCACAAGACGATAAATGTAGCTGGGCATTAGACAGCCCTTGAGGCATGACAAGCCACTACCAGAGCATACCGCTTGGAGTACTATCCGCTTTGAGCGAAATTTTGCTCGCTCGCAAGAGCAATTGGTAAAACTCATCGACCAATTCGAGTGCACTAAACATGGTACAACCTACCATAGCGTTATATCGAACATCCTTTCAATGGATAGGCGTCTGGGCCGGTATAGTGGCTTCGGTAATCTATTGTAAGCATACACGATGCGCCACTTGTCATTTGGCTTTCTGACACAAAATGTCGATGTCAAGTGCGGATACTTTCTCTCACGCACCATGCCGAACGCGTGATTTGCACAAAAGAACTCTTTAATTAAGTCACACGGATCCTTTGCTAGGGGCCATTGCCATATCACACAGTATTTGGTTTCAGGAACCAGGTCAATTTTATGACGTACGCCTCGATCAGGAGGCAGCTTGAAAGGTGGATCGTGACACACCACATCCTGAATCTCCTTAACCATAGGATAAACGGGTCTCAGTATCTTTTAAGATAGACAGACCACTTCGGGCACTCAGTGCCGCATTTGTGTCCAAGACAGCCTCGTCAAGAAGTGACGAGGAGTTCAACTCGCTATCGGATCTAATGACTACCACTTCAGATAATTCACCTGACTTCAACGCCAGTCCAAATCATCGACAGACATTTTGTCTATCTCTAACAGAGTAATTAGTGAGGATAGAGTCTCAAGACTCACTAATCCATCAACTTTGACCAGTCACTCCATTAACGAGTGTATATAGCTGCTCCTTAATATCACTCAGCGACATAACAGGAGGCTTGCGTTGCATAACATCACTCTGGCGTCGCTGTAGTCTCTGTGAGTAGACTGAGCGTCTCAAAGAGACTATAACTTTCTCGTTCACGAGGTTGATCGCATCATCATCCTTAACTTGCTCTGTGCAAGAGCCGGTGTCATTACCGACACCCAGGCCATAAACGTCGCCAAGGTTAATATGACCATCAACCTACGGCTGCTCATTACTACAACCGACATCTTTACCTACGTCCGGTACTTTACCGCCCACAGGGTGACGGAGTGCGTCAAACTAATTTTTGTCCAGCATCAGGGCTGATGTCATTACCGACACCTGGAGCTGCACTGTCCCCAAAGTGACGAGATGCGTTATTTTTAATTTGATCTATATCAGATTCTATGTCATTACCTACATCTGTTGATGAGTCACTTCCTGTGATTTCACCACCCAGTGGGTACTTACGTGTTACGCCACGCTCCTCAAATGGGCATTTCTCATTATGACTTGGCATTTCACCAACAATGTCTTGGATGACATTCAGTGTTTCGAAATCACGGCCAGCGTCACTCAGTGGGTACTTACGTGCCACTCCACGTTCATCAGATGGGTTCAAACCATGATGAATTGACTCTAGGCCAACAATGCATTCAGCATTCAGTGATTAATTATCAAAATGATCATCACTCGACGGAGTACGTGCTGTCTCACTAACAGTCATTGAGCTTAACTCGTAACTAACTTTTTTGGCATCGTCCAACTCAACGAGTTTGGCCATTCCGATGTCCAGTACACTTAATGTATCAGTCCGTGGCTCGCGCCAATAGAGTTTCTGCCATCTAGCAGAGGTGAATTTATGACTCTTTAAAAAAACTCCACTAAGAACAGTGCGCGTTGCGCCTATGGTCTTCGAACTCCAATCTAACCATGGCTCATAACGCTCTAGCCAAGCCATACCAAGGATACGATCATACCTCTCATCCAAGTCAAGGACTAGACAGCTTTCGATAATGTCAAAGTCTCATCCAAGTCAAGGACTAGACAGCTTTCGATAATGTCAAAGAAAACTTCACGCCTTAAGTCACAGAAAGTTTGGGCACAGTGACTAATGCGCCTGTCGCCAAGCGAACAGTGATAGTCTCAATCTTTCGCACCTTGAGCGCCTCAACATACTGCTGAACACCTTCCAGGGAACAACGTCCGACGTTATTTCCCAACGCCCCGGAGTCGATCAATATCGACCATGGCTTATCAAAGCCCTTTACTACTTCTTTTGCAATTAACAAGCCTGGCTTGTACGCATGCTTCATGACATTGCTCACGAAGCCACTTGGGGCTTGGCTCTGTTTTACATTACCTCCCAGAGGTACAACAGAGCCTAAATTTTCCCCATGAGGGCGCCCCACTAGGACTCGAAGTTTTACCGCGCCTTACCAACTCGTTGTTTAGACGGGAGGTCGGCTCAAAGGAGCCTGTCTGGTACTTATTAAAGAACAATTGGGTTGAAGGTGTTTGTTGCTTGCGCAATTAAACATTTACGGATCTTTGAATGCTCTTCGACAGCGTAAATCTCAGCTTTTTCGTCTCTATCAGCGAGACTGATGTCCATAGGTTTTGCCCTACCCATGAGATGAGCTTGTTTGACGAGGTCAATTGGGACCTATAAGTCCCGTAACGGGCAGCTTTGAAGATGAACTCTTCGTTCAACTCTATATCCACTACACCCTCAAATGTCAAGAGGTGGGCACGAAATAGTTCTGTTCTGGTAACGCCTGTGCGAAGACTCTCCATGAAAAATAGTCAACCAAACCGTCTCAGGTAAAGGGTCAAGTTGCATAGCAGCAATTGGAGTTCGCAACTCTTAAACATAATCGACCAAGTCCTTTTACCCTGAAGGGTTAGCAGAAAGCATTATCGCACGCAATATGCCTGATCAGGCGGAGCAAAAAAACCGAGATAGCTACTGTTTTGGGATGTCCCAGGTAATAAAAGCCTCTTC